TCTAAGTCAAAAAATTTGTAGGTGAATTTGTCCTCGTTTTTTGTTCAGGTGTGGATCCATCCTTACCCTTATAGTTGAGGGGTGAATTTGGATATTTTGCCTAATTTTTATGACTAATTTTTTCGTCAGAGTTAACCCGTTTCCTTGTAGTGGAAAGATAAACCATTAGCTCTTATGGTTGCCTGAGTAATCCTGGTGGGGCCGAAGGTAGTGGAGCAACCAGGGGACTCAATGCTTCGAAAACTTGAGCAAGACTAGGTGCCAATACTTTAAATAGTGAACGAGGGGGCTTCGAAGTCGACGCCGGTGATGGAGACTTGTGGCGTTGATTATTCTTCGCAATCGCGACTATAGTACTGCTACCGTTGCAATTTTCGTAATCTGATACAAATGATTCCGTTTTGTATTGTTCTATGAGAAACAGAATGCTAGATTTAGATGATGAAGACTAAAATCACTCGTCAAGGCAACCTGAAGTTTTATGGATGGTACGGAAGACTAGTCTTGTTTGTGGTTTTGAGTTTACAGCGCAGTTGTTGGGTCGGTTACAGGGAAAAAAAATATTTTAACGTGGCTTGTCAAGCAATTAAAAAAGGAGTAGGTTTTGAGTTGTGGGAATTGGGATTTTGCTTGTAAAGTGTATAGAGGGAACAGAGGTCAAGATTAAGAAGAAGAAACAATGCCTAGGAAAAAAATGGAAAGCGGAAGTTGGAGATCCAGCTGTCAGAGCACAGGGGCTCCACAAACTCCCATCCACAAGCCTAGAAAGAAAACTTCTTTCAAAAAGATATTTTGGGATCGGTAGCCAATCTATCTCTTTGAAAGTGAAATTGACGTATCAAAATCATGGGGTGAGTGGCGTTAGTAGAGAGTGCAGGAGCGAGTGCTCCTAGCACTGCTCTATTATTTTTAATTTAATCTGAACGGATACCTCTGTATATATATAAAATAAGCAAAACCTCAGCTTAAATCTCAAACTTATTTTAAATGAAAATAATTTAGAAATAATTTCTTTATATTATATTTTTATATAATTTTATGTGACATTTAAATAATTAATTTTTTATTTATTCAAAATTTATGATATTAAATATATTTACTAATTTAATAATATAAGAAATTTATATAAAAAAATAGTATAAAAAAATTATTCATATATAACTATCTTATTTTAAAATTTAAATTTAAATTTTATATTTTTATTAAAATAAATAAAATTTTAAAGTTGATAATTTAAGTAATTTAATTTTTTTCAACCAATTTAATATTTATTTATGTCTCATTGGTATAAATTAAGTATTAATATGTTATTATTCATGTGATAAGTATTAATTTTGTCTACATAAGTAAGATATAAGCAAACGTTAGATTTATAATAAAGAAAATAATTAAATTGCATAGATCATTAAATTTAAAATTTATTTAATTTAATAAAAATTAAAAAATTTTAATTGAAAATCTAAGTAAGTACTTTAAAATAAGGAAGAAAAAGTTTGTTGAAATTTGAAAAATGATGTGTCTGAAGATTAGAAAAGCAAAATGCAGATTGTTGGGTAAGAGTTGTATTTTTCATCATTATTATTGGTAAAAAGGAGAATTTTTAAAGTTTAGTATTTTATAAATGATTAAACTAAGTGTAATTAATTCATATTATAAATTATA